AATTACACTACCCGTAACATATTCTAAATAAGTGTCCACTGCCATAGAGTACAGGCCGGCTTTGGTCATGTCGTACGCATCTGAAACGTCAAAGGTGGACGACACTGTTTGTCCAGGTTTGACGAGCAAGTATTGGTCAGGGCCTGGAGCGGAGCGCTTCGTGTAAATACCATCGTATCGTAGCTTCTTGCCATTGGTATCGACCGCCAAGCAATTCGATCTCAGTCCATCCAGCGGTGTGCGCCATTTCAGTACTGAATAATCTTGTTTACCGTTGTTTCTCAAATAGAACTTACATTCAATCTTGTTGATAGTTTTGAAGCTCGGTGGACAATCAAGGAGACAGGAGAATATTCTGTATGAACAAATACCAATTGAAAAAGTATCACTTTTTTATAGTTCTACCTGTTTTGTCTCAGCTAATACCTAAACGTGGTATAAATGGGTCATATATCCTTGCGTTCAAGCCAATTAAATTCTTGAATTTATTTACTCATTGACGTGGTCTTTTATAGTATCCAAAAGGTAACATAGCTTCGCCAAATGAAAAGTCCCATCAATATAAATCCCTCCTATGCACCCTTGCAATAGAATTAATCATATTTTTCAAAAAAGAGGAAGGTGTAGCTTATTACATACGTGTTATCAGATTCTACGATTCTTTCTCCATCTGTTATCGTCATTAGAAGCAATACCCACAAGAATCGCATGATTGGCTGCAAAGAAACAAAGCCTTTTTCAGATTCAACGACATGTACTCAAACTAGCCTGCGAGTTATTAGTTCTTTACGAAAAGAGATTTGAAAAGTATATTGTAATTTCAAAATCACCTGCACGGTCTTAAGGAATACGCTTGATATGGGAGGACTTTTATCTCTCGTTTTTCAACGTGTATTGGTTTTCTTAGAGAAAAACTAACGAATTATTTGACTGAGACAATTGACAATGAAACCACCTATGTACATTTGTACAGCATTTATTTGTGTTTAGTTGAAGATAATTTAGCTTCAATTTAGAATTATCCTGTTAGTTGCGCTATTAGCTGAGCAAATTTCCGTCCACAGTTTTAAAGGAGTTTTCATTGACGACTCAGGTCGCCTTTTTTTTCTTAGGTCAATGTATTCATCCTTTTAAGAATTTGCTATTTCTCATATCGATAACATTCCCATAATGACTCTCCTGAACATCTTGCGTATTCAACCGAGACTTTGCTTCCCGATATAATCGCCGTCAATAGAACTATTCAATGCAAAACTATTTTGGCAAGGCGGAAAACCAAATAAAAAAATTTTAACGTAACTTACCAGTCTATGTGCCGCGCGCTCGCTGTCTAATGGTAGCTCTAAATAATGTTTATTGATTCCTTATGGAAACTAAACAGCGGGGAGAGAACAGTGGCAATGGCAAGAACATTTTTCATTCCGCATAACAACGGTCTCTCCGCAGCTCATAATACTTATGTTATTCAATATCTGATAATGGATGTGTACGAAGTCTCTAAAGCCAAACATTAACAATAAAATTTTGCCGACTTTTGGTTCGGTTTGATTTCCAATTTTTTTACTTGCCACTGCTTCTGGTAATTTTAAAGTTAGTTGCTTCCACTGGCAGCAAAAGAAATTAACACAAAAAACTTTGTAATTCCTTGCCCGAGTCACATTTTTCAAGCAAATCAAGTAAGGGCCAATTTTACAATTATTACATAAAACTTATCGCATCAGGCTAAGCGATAATTTTTTTTTATCACGAGCATTATCAAGGTGCTTAAAACCAATATGTTTTGCTAAGAATTCGTGATTAGTTTTGTCTGATGCTGTTAGCATACGAGACGGAACTTTGTAAAGGATGTGTTGCGAGGATTAAAATTATTCCTCTCTGTGAAACTGCAGAGCAACAGGTGGTTTGAAAAACCGCGAAAGCACTTAAAGTATTAATTTACAGGCAAACAAACTCATCTGAACAATTTTACTTATTAAGACACTGCATACTATACAAAGACATCCAAGTGTGTTAGAAAACATTTCCCGAGCAACAGCGCTTCTGAATTGTCTCTATGTGAAGAAAAATGCTTTTTTGTCTGCTAGGACTAGATGAATAAATATTTTTTTTAGTAAGGTGGCGTTTCAGCGCGGATTATTAACATCGGCGTTTGAACAATCATTGTGCCAGAACTGTTCAATTCTTCCAACGAACGAAATAGTAAGTTGAAAACGGCTGCCTGTTTGATACTTGTAAAAAGAATGTAGCTATTTATTGCTACAGCTAACAGATGAGGGGTATTTCTTCTATAAACAGCTAGGTCTGCGTAGATAAACTTTCCAGAAGAGAAATTGTTCAATTTTTTCCAACAAGCCCAAATGGAACTGTTCATTCCACAGTGAAAAGGTTAACCTGTATTTTCATTCATCAAAATTAGTAACAAGAAAAAAAAATTACGAGATTGAAGCCATGCGGAGAACGCTTCCGGCATTTGGCGGGTGTCTATCACTTTTCATGAATAAGGATCATCAAGAATAGTAAAGCTGTGAAGAACGAAGAAAATGGCCTTTCTTATGATGCTTCGTATTCAGTGCAACGTGTCTTCAGAGTGACCGGAAATGAATTTGGCTCCATTTTTCATTTATTGATCAAACATGTGAGAAAAGAAAGAGAGATGACTGAAAAATTAACAAATACGCACAAACTTGAATGAAAAACAAGAACCTTTTATTAATCTGTTCCTTAATCAGCTTTTTTTTACATATCTCCTTATTGAGTTATTTCAATTCTACATGCCTACGGTCTTGTGTATTTTTTTAAGATGACAGT